CCCATTGAGGAAAGAAAGGAGTGTGCTCTCATGCAGAGGTTTCCAAACCAAGCTCCATGGCAAAACTGGCTGGTTTTGGGGTCCTGGGGGGTAGTGTTGCCTACTGGATGGCGCATTGGACTGGGACCCAGGAGACATGGGTTCTGTTCATGGCTGTGCCACTGGCCTGCTGGGTGACCTTGGGCAAGTCACTTCACCTTTCTGTGCCTCAGTTTCCCCATCTATAAAATGAAGATGATGGTACTTTACTCCCTTGTAAAGCACCCTGAGATCTGTGGATTCAAAGTGCTATAAAAAGAGCAAGGTGGCAGTGGTCTCTTTTACAGCCGCTCAAGTTCAAAGAAACAAACCTAAAAATACAATAAACAGCCATCCACGGAAGCAAGTGTAGTCATTGCAACAGGGATAGTGTGTTCCTGAGTAGAGACGCAGGGGGTCTGCTATTCTGAACAGGAAAGGGGTTGGCCATGGAATAATCTCGTACTAACGTGTGGTCGTCCAGGCTGCTGTAACAGTACTGCCAATCCCCCATGCGTTCCAATATCGTGTGTCTGACTTAAATATAATAATCAAGCCAAGTAAATTTTCTTTGCTTTCTGGGGTTGAGATCAGGTTTTTCAAGCTTTTCTCCTTAACCATGAGGGTTGCTTGGTTGTTTTCTTCCCTCCCACCCTGGTGAAAGCTGTGATTCTTGCACTCGCTACTCCAGGAGCTGGGGCATTGAGGGGAAAATGCATAAAATCGCAAGGGTTTGGAACACTGCTAGGTGGACAATTTGACTCAGACCCCTTGCTCTGATTCAAACCGGGGTTTCTGGGTTCTGTTCCCAGACCATCCTCTGATTCCTTAGGGCACCGAATAAGGTAGTATCTATGAATACCTAGTAGGGAAGGGACAAACCACTTCGCGGTTGTGTGGCTCGGTTTCCCTTTCTCTCAAATATCTACAATCCCTCTCTGTGGGTGTTATGAGGTTTTAATGATTGATGCCGATAGTCTTTTGAGACCAGGGGAACAGCGCTAGAGGGGTCCTAGGTTGGGGGTGAGGTCCTTTAGAATGGCTGTTTTTATAAAACATATGTTTT